GGTTGGTCCTGCTCGTGTCCAGGCAATTTCGTGAGCTTCTGGGAGGGCCGTTGATTGCCCTTGCTTGAATCGTGTAGGCCTTCGGCTTTAACTCCGCCAATCCCCGCGGCGTCCTGGCTGGTGGGTTGGTCGGTCCCCCAGCCACCACCACCGTTGGAAACCATTTGCACGGTGGGAGGCGCCTGGCCCCCCAACCACCGTTGGAAACCAGTATTGCCGGTGGGGGGGGGGGTCCCACATAGTGGGACCCAGTCTCTTGCCCAGCCTTGGGGGTCCCAGATTGGGACCAAGCCTTGGGGGCCCCGCATAGTGGGACCCAGCCATGGTGGTCCCACAGCCATGGGACCACATACTGCGCCCAGCCGTGGGGGTCCCGCATAGTGGGACCCAGCCTCTTGCCCACTTAGTGGGACCCTGACTATCAGGCGCCTAGCCCGTTCCCCGAAGGCTTCGAGGATCAAGCGCCCACACCAGAAGGCATTTTGCCTACCCGCGCACTGCTCTCCGAAGGCATTGTGCGCGATGGCTTCGCAGGGTGCCCTCCCTGCGGACGACCAGCGTGGGCCACCTGAGCAGGGGCCTGAGGGCGGCCAGCCTGGGCCAGCAGTGCCCGCCGCGGACGGTGAGCCTCAGCCAGCAGTGCCTGCACCTAGGCGCCTGACCCCTCACCGCCGTGCGCTCGACAAGGCTTTGCTCTACGCGAAGATCTCCCAGCGTACGAAGTTCTGGCTCCAGGGAGCTTGCCCCGAGGCGGAGGTGGGAGAGGTTTCGTACAACGACGTCGCCCGCGTCATCCACGTGCTGCAGGCTGTGATTCAGGACGAGGTGAAGCTCAGGGGCGTCTGCATCATCCCTGGCTTCTTGAAGGTGGTTGGCAAGAAGGTCAAGAAGCAGCCGCCAAAGGTGATCAAGGTCAGCGACTTCCTACTCTGCTGATTCCTCTGTTCCACCAGTCCCTCACACCTCTAAGCTCTTTCACCGCGCTGTATCTCCTTACCATTGTTTTTTAACTTGTCCCATTGCTCCTCCGAGGTCCGCGGCAAAGAGTACACCATCCCTGAGATGCCTGCGCACCTTCTGCTCCAGGCCACCATCGCTAAGGACATGAAGAGGATCGACGACCCCGAGCAGGCGGACCCTCCCGAGGCCGACGGCTCGTCGTCCCCGAGCATCATGGGGTCGTCGTCCGACGCCGTCGAGGACGGCCAGCAGCAGGATGCGCCAGCGGAGTGATCCAGTGAAGGTCCAAGCTTCTCTCTGAGGTTAGGGGCCCTGGGCATCCAAGATTTTAATTCCGTCTGAGGTCCAGGATCCGATTACTTCTGGTCTGGGGTCCAGGACCAGAGGCTTTTTGTTTTTTCAGATGCGTTATTTCCCTTGGTAGCTCAGGGCCCAGCCCGACGCCTGAAGGCGCTCTTAGAGAAGTTCGAGAGAGCGCCTCGACTGAGTTATCGTTGTTGTCGACATCGTCCTTGTCGTAGTTGCTGTCGCCATCGTCGTCCTTCTCGTCGTCATCGTCGTCGTCGTCGTCGTCGTCCTCTGCGTCCTCGTCGTCGTCGTCGTCGTCCTCGTCGTCGTCGTCGTCCTCGTCGTCGTCATCCTCGTAGTCGTCGTCGTCCTCGTCGCCGTCGTCGTCCTCGAAGTCGTCGTCGTCGTCGTCGTGGTCGTCGTCGTAGTGGTGGTCGTCGTCGTGGTCGTCGTCGTCGTGGTCGTCGCCATCGTCGTCGTCCTCGTCGTTCTCGTCGTCGTCGTTTTTTCTTTTTGAAGCTAGCAATGGTTAGCATTTTCTTTACTTTTCATTCGCTCTCGAACTCGCTACCCCCGAGATGCTCTCTCTGACTTCGGCCCGTCTGTCAAGAGAGGCAGGAGTGCCTCGCCCGTTTCGGCCGAAGAGCCAGTGGCCACGACCAAGCTGCTTGAACGCTTGGACGGTTGTGCTTGAAATCACCTCCTCCTCCTCTTCCCTGTGGGAGGGGGCAAGTGGCCTCCGTGCCCTCCTCATCCAAGGTGCAGGGGCACCTCCCCCCCTCCTTGCGAGGGAGGAAGAGGAGGAGGATAAGGAGGGGGATGGGCCCGAACGACTCACACCAGGAGGTGAGTCGTGCGGGCCCCTCCTCCTCCTCCGACTCCTCCTCTTCCTCCCTCCTCCCTCCTCCCTCCTCCTCCTCCTCCCTCCGCCTCCCCCTGGGGCAGACGCTGGCGGAGGTAAAACGTTACATGGCGCGGAACCCACCGCCACCAGAAGGAGGACGTTGAGGGAGAAGATAAGGAGGAAGGAGGGGGAGGAGGAAGAGACCATGATGATGATGATGATGATGATAATGATGATGATCTCTCGTTGGGTTGATCCTGTTCCTCCGTCCAGGGTGCCCTGGGTTTCTTGGGCTTCGATGGTTGCGCTGTGGAAAGCGTGGCATTCCCACGCCAAAAAGCAATGGGCATCCTGGGGTCTCAGGGTTGGGTTTCTTATGGAAGGTTTCTCGCCCGTTCAGGACGCTATCCTTGTCTTGGGTGGATTCTTGAGCTTCTTCTCACAGGAGTACCCAATTGCTGTGTTTGTTGGACTCGGCCTGAGGCCCGCGGGGCAGAAGGAGGTTCTTGACGCTTCGCGTATCCCCACCAGCCCATCCAGGAACGACGCCCAGACGCGTTGAGGTGATCAGGCAAGCGCGGGAGGCCCTCTTGGGCCCCTGATGGGCCCATAAGATGGTTCCAATAGGGCCCTAGGAGGGCCCCTAGAGGGCCCCAAGAGCCGCCGGCGGATTTCCAGGGGAGAAGGTAGGGAGATGGGTTTGATTAGGAAACTGGAAGAGGAACCGCTCTAGACCACCTACGCCCAGATGGCTGGTGGGACCTAGCCCCCCAAAGCTCGTCTGGTACCAGTTGGGGGTGGTTCACGAGTTGACAATTTAGCCCCCCCAAGCTCGTGTAGTACTGGTTGGGGGGTGGTGCCATTCCAATAGGCGCCTTGCGTTTGTGGCACCTCTTCGAGCCAGGTTCGGTGAGCTTGTCCGCCTAGGTTCGCGACTCCCCCCTCTTTGGGCAGGTCCTTCGAACCCATCTTCGTATCAACCAGTGTCTACGCTGTAGAGGGCTCGGCTCAAGAACGTGGGAGTGAGTCTCTTGTAGGACATCTTTGAGGTCTCTCCGAGCCACCATTCGCCCTCTTGCAGCACAGCTGCGTCATGTCGACTCGAGGCGGGAAGGGTCTTGGCGGTGGTGGCGGTGGCAAGAAACGAGAAGCTGCGAAACCGTCCAGAGGCGCCCTGACTATCGCAAACGTGAAAAAGCTCAGGGCAGGTGGTGAATTCTGTTGCGGCTTCTGTGGGTGTTGCGACAGCGGTGAGGCCGTCGCTGATTGCCAGGTCGAGGTCTGCCAGAAGTGCTGGAAGCGCTACTTGGCCGCGTTCACCACCTACGGCGATATCAGTTTCGTTATGGAAGGCGTTCAAGATGAGGGCAGCACGATCCACGCGGAGTGGCAGGAGTCTGGACAGACCGAGGACGGGGTTATGCGCACGTTTTTCTCTAGCGACGTGTCTGATTCCAAGTCCTTCGAGGTAAAGGTCACCAAGCCGATGATTGGCTTGACCCGCCAGCAAGTCATTGCGGCCTTGGGCGGCCACGAGCCCGACAAGGTCGGCCTGCGGCTCGGCGACCTGGTGGATGCAGAGGGTAACGCCTTCAAAGGCGTCCTGGTGCCGAATCCCAGCAGGCCGTACCTGGAGGTCGATGTGTCCACCGCGATGTCAATCACCAGGGACACGACGAAGTTGAAGGGGGACGCGCAGCTCTTCGCGGACCAGGGCAAGAAAGTATTCGAGTACGAATGCAACGATGTCAAGACGAAGAACTCCATATGGAAGCACGTCCTCACCAAGGCGAAGACCGAGGTACACACGCTCGAGACGCTGAAGGCTAAGGGTGAGAACTACCAGAGGTTGCTCGACTCCCAGAAGGCTAAGGGTTCTGCCGCATGTGATGATGGCGCGTCGTCGACGGGCGACGCCTCGACAAGGCCGCCTGATACACCTACTTCGGCACTCAGCCCAGGCCCGTCAACCATGAGTGCCCCTGTGTTGAACCCAGCTGCGCTGCGCGACTCCGTCACGCACTACAGCGGCGAGTACAGCGAGAGCAAGAGGCAGAAGGCCACTTCAGGGAAGGCAGCGCGGAAGTCCCCCGCAACGGCGGGGGCTACCCCCGACAAGTCCGAGAGCTACGATCTCGTGCAGCGGAGGAAGGGGGCCCTCAATCTCGAGAGGTGCTGGAATGGGGACGCCATGGGCAGGGAGATCCGCTGGGCCAGGGATGCTGTCGCAGCCATCCTGGACAAGGCTATCCCTGGCGAGGCCGAGCTGGCTGATGAGCTCGATGGTCATCGCAAGCTCGCCGAGGCCATCTGCGGCTTGATGGAAAAACCAATCAAGAACATCAACCAAGATAAGTTCGACTCGTATCTCGTCGTCATCGAAGGCATGAACGAAGACGTGAGGTCCGCCGTCAAGGTCGAGCTCTTGAAGACGAGATTCAGCAACCTGATCTTCGCGGGCAGTTGCACGGCCTCGGATTTCTTTCGGGTGGCCGCCCCATGGAACACACTCACCGACACCGACGATGCAATGTTCAAGCCGCGCGACCCGCGCGTCTACACCATTGACGGCTCCAAGCAAGACAAGATCTCAATGACCGACTCCCTCATGATTGACGTGTATAACGGGCACATCACGAACGGCAAGGCTGGCAAATCCAGCTTGAAGAGGCTATGCGTGGATTGGCTCGACTGGGTGGACGACGACGTCGTCGACGATGAGGACTACGACCTGCTCATCACCAGCCTGATCACCTCATAGAAAGCGCTGTTGAGTTTCATCGATCCGAAGGTCACCCAGTACGATGACGCTGTGACTGCGTTTTCGAATTGTGCAGAGAGCAAGCCTGGACAAGCGAGCCTTCGCCATCTCGCCTTGCTGATCAGGCGGTCTGCCGACTACACCGAGATGAAGGATGAGTATCACAAGTTTTACAAGAGGACGAAGGAGCTGCTGCCCACCGTCGCCATGCATGAGAAAAATATGAAGGAGATGACTGTAGCGGCGTTCGTGGATGGTGGGCACATGTTGGCTGCCCTCCAGACAGTGGCGAAACTTCAGTTAGAGTGCCGGCCTGGCTCTTGGGAGGGCTTCGAGATCGAGCTGACTGCGAAGCTCGAGGAGTACGTGCACGGAATCACCGTCGACAAGAACTACGCGAAGATGGACAACACCACCCAGACGCAGAAGCTGTCCGAGGCGAAGGTGCTGTTGCAGGAAGCCAAGAAGAACTTGACTTCCAAGAGCTCTGCTTGGCAAATCGCCCTCAATGAGGTCGGAGACGCTGAGGCGGGCATCAACCTATGGAACGCGAACCAGGGGCTCGCGTCGCTGGCACAGGCTTTGACTGCAGACTCCCTCAAGGACCCTGCCAAGCGCCAGAGCGTAATCCCTGTCATTGACTCCGTCCTGGCTGCTGGAGGCCGGAGCTCCGAGGCGCACGCAGAGAGTGCCAAGGCAATCCAGGCGAGTGTCACGGCATGCATCGGGAACCACTGCGAGAGTCCTGAGTCCACGGAGCCGTATGTTTGCATCTTGAAGAAGATCCTAGAGGCAAAGTGGTTGACTGACAATGGCAACAAGGAGTTGACCAGCTTCGTCAATTTACTCGAGTGCTGGGGCCCAATAGTCGAGCACAAGAAGCAATGGGAAACACTGGGTGAAGACGACGGCAAGCGCTTGGAGGAGGCGTCGGCGAAGAACATCATGGTCTCCTTGCTGTCCTCCTTGGAGAGGGTGAAGGAATTCATGCACGACCCCACGCAGGTCCCCTCTCTCACGATCGACTACGACCACGCCAGGAACATGCAAAAGAGTGCTTCCCTGGTCTCGGCAGAGAACAACAGCAGGGCCTTGATGCAGTTGTGCGACCAAGCGGAGCCCAAGAGCACAGGAGGCACATCGAAAGATCAGCCGTGGCATTCGACATTGGATGCAGACGCGTCGACGAAGGACGTCATCGAGCTTGGCAAGACCACACTCCTCAAGATCAATGCGTCCGGGTTCAAGAGTATGACGGATAGGCTGATCCACGCGATGGACACCTACAACGTGTGGTCCACGGTGATCAACTACACGACGGACGCCGCCCTCGTCGACAGGGCCCGCGAGGTCAAAGCCGACTGCTTGGCCACGATGTTCTCGGCGAAGCTCATCCACGACCAGATCGAGCACGCGGATGCGCCGACGAAGCTCCGCAGGGCCGCGAACAAGATCAAGCAGAGCGTGAACTCAGCAGGAGTGCTCGACAGGATGCCCCAGCAGCTGCGCGACATGATGAAGAACATGTGCTCGCTCAAGGCGGCCTGAGCGGAGCCGCGGAGCACGGCGCGGCGTGCCAGGTTCGCGGGCCCGACGGCCCTGGAGCACAGGAGCCCCAGCAGGTGTGCGGCCTCAAGAGGCGCGGCTTCGTCAAGGCCTGCCGACGTGGACCAGCGGGGGAAGGGCTGATGAGGAGAGGAGCGAGGACAACGATGACGAGAATGACGATGGCGATGATCATGAAAAGGATGAGGAGAGGGAGGATGAGGAAGATGAGGAGCAGTCAAGGGTCCAAGACGCCTGCGGCGAATCACCGCCGCCCCGCCTTTTGGAAGTGCCTGGGTGGCTGGACGTCGTGGCCAGAGCTCGGCCAAGCAATCGGACTATTGTTTCCCCTGCCGTTGTGGAGTGCGCAGAGTACGCAGTGGAGGGATTGGCACCGTGCCATGCCCTCATCCTCCTCCCTCTTCCTCTTCCTCCTCCCTCCTCCTCCTCCTCCTCCTCCTCCCCTCCTCCTCCTCCCCTACTCCTCCTCCCCCCCCTCCTCCTCCTCATCCTCCTCCTCCTCCTCCTTCTCCTCCTCCTCATCCTCCTCCTCCTCCTCCTCCTCCTCTCGTCTCCAGCCCCGTCCCTTCTCCACGTTCACCTCTTTCCACATTTCTCCACCGCCGCCTTCTCCTCAGCCGTATTGTTTTCTTCAACGTTCCTTCCTCCATCTCTGTCTTTCCCCCCTTCCACCTCCGCCTCACTCCGCCCCCACCCCCATCGACGCGTATTCCCCCATCGTTGTTCTTATCCTGCCACCGCCGCCTCCCTCAAGTTCCACCATCGACCTCGATTTCTCTCTGCCTCTACGTCCTCCCCCCTTCCGTCTCGTCATCGCCTCATTTGCCCCACCTCTGACTCCTTCCTGTCTGCCTCGTCCTCCTCTTCTGCCCCCAGTACGCCCGTCCTCCTCTCCCCTCCTCCTCCTCCCGCCTCCCCTCCTCCCCACCCCACCCTCCTCCCTCCTCTCCTTCCTCCTCCCCTCCCTCGCCCCCTCCCTCCTCCCCTCCTCCTCCTCCTCCCCTCCTCCTCCTCCCCACCCCTCCGCTTCCTCCTCCTCTTCCTCCTCCTCCTCCTCCTCCATTTCCTCCTCCTCCTCCTCCTCCATTTCCTCCTCCTCCCTCCTCCGCCTCCTCCTCCTCCTCCTCCCCTCCTCCTCCTCCCTCCTCCCTCCTCCCCTCGTAAGCCTCCGTTGCCATTTTGGGTTAGACCGCTACTGTGGGAATGTGGTATCGAGCGCTGCGATACGCGGCGCGCATCCTGGCGCGCGACTTGCTGGTTTTGTGCGCGCCCAGCCCGCGCGCGGCTTGCAAGTCGGCGGGGTCAGCCCTGCCGACGGCGAATGTCGCTGAAAAGTTTCGGTTATTGTTTGGCCAAGGCCACATGTTGCCGCGGGGGCCTCGATGCGGGGCCCCGAGTTTGCGCGTGAACATATTGTATTGCGGCGGTCGAAACTTGCCTTGCGCTCTGTACTTGTCCCGAAAAGTGGGGGTACTTTGGATAGTACTTTTGCGCGGCACACTGATGGGTGCTCGAATTTGCAGGGTACTTTGGGTGTGTACCTTAGATCATATCTCAAACCCTACTTTGCCTGTTGTCTTCATTTCCTCTCTGTAGCAGGACCCCCTTGTCACAATCCTGGATCTCAACGAGGCCTCCGACCTTCCTCCTCCGACCGCTGCTGGCATCGCCTGCAGTGCCCCTCGCTGATCTCACGGATGGCAAGGCCGATTTCTGCAAGCTCATCAGTTGCGACCTCCGGCGATTTCGGAGAGGACTACGAGGTCACCGACGGGACGGGAAGGAGTTCGAGGCTCGGAAGCTCTTCGAGGTTGTGTTTTGAAGTTGACATTTGAGTTGTCCAAACGCGTGGCTGGCGTCGCGAAGTGAGCTCGCGACAATCGTGCGGCGCGCAAGACAAGGTCGGCAACGGAGAAGCGCGCGCGGGGGCGGCGCCGCTGCGGTCGGCACGGCCGCTGCAGATGCAGTTCTTGCCGGGGGCCAGTTGCCCGCCGAAGGAGCCGCGGCGGGCGCCGCTGCTGGGGGGGGCTCTGAGCCCGCCGCGGCCGCGAGACGTCCGCGCCTGAGCGGGTGCTGCCCTGCCCCTTCAGGCCCCCCAGTCAGATCTAGCAAGTGATCAGTGCAAACGAGGCTCTCACTCTGACACTTTTTAGTAGACTTCAATGTTTTCTACCAGTGGGTCCCCGATTGACTCCATGTCACACTGGCTGGGGGGCGGTCAGTTCAAGAAGTTACTGCGTTAGTGTTCGGGGGAGCCATGGGGTCGAGCCGTCGGGCCCCCTTGCCTCTTCTGCCCCCCTGGCCCGGGGGTGCCGGCGCACGGCGTCCAGTCGGTTGCCGTGGACGAAGCGATTGGCTCGTCCACGCGCTCTCCCGCGGGCCCTGCATTCCCCCCGTCCCCGATAAATAGAAAGGCCCTCGCCTTCCGCCGCCCCCCCCCTGGCTTGCGGAACGCCCGTTTGGTCTTCGGCAGGATTGGAGCGAAGCCCTCGGCGTGTTCCAGAAGGGATATGACGCCGCGTCGGCCGATGACTCCCCCGCAGCCGCGAGCGCCCCTGATTCCGCGCGCCCCCTCAGGGCGTCGGCTGCCGAGGAAGACCCTGCCGACGTCTTGGGGGGGCGCCCTGCGCCCAGGGAATCCGGCGCACGGGGTCCCCAGAGGTTTCGGGAACCAGTTCTGAAGCTTGCACGGCGCGCGAGAGATCTGGCTGATGGGCCGCCCCCCTGGCCGCAGGCGCAGATTCGCGCGCTTCGGTGGCGCGGCCAGGACTGGGTGGCCAGCGCGAGCTCTGTTGCGCCCGCCCTGCAAGCCCTGCTGGAGCCTGACCAGACGGTTCGCCCAGCTGAAGGCAATGAATGTGTTCCAGTCTTTCGCGCAGCCGCTGACTTAGGCAGGCGCGCGCAGGTCCTCGCGGGCGGATTGGTCGATCGATTTTTCTGCGACCTGGAAGAGTCAGCAGGCGGAGTTCGCGAGCTTCCCCTGGCAGCTAAGGCTCAGGCTGTCAGCGCATCGAGACAGGCCCGCCAGGGCCAGGCCAGGGAATGCCTGGACTGAGGTGGGCCGCGGGGCCCGCGGCGCTCGCGGCGGATCCCGAAGGTGGGCGCCCCTTCCGCCACCTCGCCCCCCAATGGCGCCAGTGTCAGTGACCCTCGGAACCACCCTGAGACTGACTGGGATAGGTTTTAAATGAATTGTAAATGTGGGGCTGGTCTCGGGGTCGAAGATGGAAGCGCCCCCCCAATCCCTCGCCCCTCGCCCCCCCCCCGGAAGATGTTCGCTCCATTTTTAAGAAGTGCAGGAACAGGGGCGCGGTTCTTTGGGGGGTTTCACTGCTGTCACTGCTCTCTCCATGGGGACAGAGCTCCCCGTGCCCTGTGCGTGTTTCTGTTTGCGATGGAAGCGACGGGCCGCTCGCCGAGGCATTTGGCCTGGGTTCCGATGGCCCGCCTGACCGCGCCTCTAGGGGGTTCGGCCGATCGGGGCACCCGCCGCTTTCAACCGCGACTTGGGTAGAGCCGGGGGGTCCGAGGCGGTCCGTCGGGGGGGGGCGCCCTCGGAGACGTTGGCGGCCAGCTGTGGCCGGCGTCGCACCGACGCGGTTTGAAGACGAGCGATTCGGTTTGTGAGCGGCACTCGCAGGGGGGGTTCTCGGCGTCTATTTTGGGCGATGTCAAGAAGAACAACAAACGCATCGGTCTTCAGTTTCTTTGGTCCAAATCTCGGGGGCGTGGTTTCCATCTATCCGTCGCTCGGCTTGCGATTAGTGCGTGCGCATCAGCTTTTTCCCCGGCGCTGCCCAGTTTCGCGCGTTGGCCGTGCTTCGTCGAGGGCGGGCTGGCCGCGGGCCGCAGCTTCGCGGCCTCATTCGGGTTTTCGCGACGGCGGTCTCCGTCGCGATTCGGCGCGCGCGTGGGCGACGCGCCTTTACATGTGACTGGCGGGTTCCAGGGCGCCGTTCGAGAGATTGTTTCGGGGGCGAGGGCCCTCCGCGAGGCCGTCGCCCGCGCCTGCCAACTCGCCTTGGGCGAGATGGGGCTCGCGGCCTCGCGCCCTTTCCTGGCCTCGGTGATCTCTGATCAGATAGGCGAACTTGCCGGGACTGGCAGGGCTGACCTCGTCAACGCGGGCGCCGACTGCGCGCGGGGCGAGGCGTCGGGGCCCCCGGGGGGTGGGGTCGAGCTGCCAAACTCACGGTCGTCTTGCTGCCGCGGCTAGGAAGCGCGGAAGATCGGTCCGCCCTGGGCAAGAAGTTTAACGCGGAGCTGTTAAGATTTCCGCTTCGGGCCTTCTGGGCGGCGGGGTTCGCGGGGGGGCCGAAGCGCGCGGAGTTTCTGGCAGGGGGCTGCTTTCTCCGGGGGGGGGCACGGGCGCGCGTCGCCGCGAAGCTCGAGGTAGTTTTTTTTTTTTTTTGTTGTTCTCTCTCTCTCTCTCTCTCTCTCTCTCTCTCTCTCTCTCTCTCTCTCTCTCTCTCTCTCTCTCTCTCTCTCTCTCTCTCTCTCTCTCTCTCTCTCTCTCTCTCTCTCTCTCTCTCTCTCTCTCTCTCTCTCTCTCTCTCTCTCTCTCTCTCTCTCTCTCTCTCTCTCTCTCTCTCTCTCTCTCTCTCTCTCTCTCTCTCCTCTGTCTCTGTCTCTGTCTCTGTCTCTGTCTCTGTCTCTCTCTTCTTTCTTTCTCTCGCTCCGTTTTTTTTTTTTTTTGTTTTTTTTTCTCTCTCTCTCTCTCTCTCTCTCTCTCTCTCCTTGTCTTTCTCTCTCTCTCTCTCTCTCTCTCTCTGTCTCTGTCTCTGTCTCTGTCTCTGTATGTCTCTCTCTCTCTCTCTCTCTCTCTCTCTCTCTCTCTCTCTCTCTCTTTCTCTCCCTCTTGGAAGCGGGGCCCTGCGGTCGAGGGCGGCCGCGGCCTCGATGTCGGGCGAGCCTGCGAGGCGCGGCTGCGCCGGGCCCGCGGCTTCGACCTCTGCGCGCTTCCTGGAAAGGCGTTCGCTCGACGGCAGCTGGCAACCCAGATGGATGGGGCTCAGTTGGTCAGAAGTGCCGGGCCCCGTTTGGGCCGGCAGGGCGCTTTTTCGTCGCCTCGCTTGGGCGACGTTCGATT